ATTGACTCGTTATCGGAAGATGAAAACCCAATGATTTCTAAGGCTAAGAAAATGTTCTCCAATGACTTGAGCGTTAAAACCATGATTTCTTTTTTTCTCTTGTTTGCTGTTCCTCGACTTGCAAAGCTACTAAACATTAGAAATGATGTTTTTGACTATTTCAAGGACTTGTCGCTTCAGGTCATTCACCAAAAAAGAGAAGAGTTCAAGAAGGTTGAAAACTTGGGAAAAGCGAGCAACTTTTTAGAGATGCTCTTAGAAGCCGAAGCCGAGCATGAAAAGCTACAAAGCTTGGAAAAGAATGTCAATACAAATGGTACAGTAGAACCAAGCAAGAACGTGAAATGTAAGTGATCAAAAGTGGGGCGCAGAGGAGAACAGTTTTGACACGTTTACTTTCCCAAGATTTGACCAATGACGAGCTCATATCACAGGCCATACTTTTCTTCATTGCCGCTTTTGACACTACAACGTCTTTAATAACTCTGGCTTCATATTTTCTGGTACGTCATTTTGGTTTCCTGCTTAGTGTTGTTTAAAAAGTTTGTTTTTCTTCCAAAGGCACTAAATGAAACAATCCAAGAGAGTTTACACGAGGAAATTGTCACTGTCATTGAGAAGCTTCGCAGAGAATCAAGCGAGCAGCTGTACGATCCACTAAAGTTGATCACTTTTGAATCGTTGTCTCAGTTTGAGTACCTGAACGCTGTGGTATCGGAGACTCTGCGTTACTTTCCTCCTGCCAGCCTAGAGCGGACTGCTTCTCGGGATATTGTTCTCCAAAATGAGGATGGTTCCGCGTCTCTAGACTTGAAAAAGGGTGACATCGTGCACATGCCAGTTTACGCTATCCACAGAGATGAAAACTGGCCTGACCCTGAAGTTTTTGACCCCTCTCGATTCATTGGCCCTCCTCAGTATCACAAGTACTCGTATCTGCCTTTTGGACAAGGTCCCCGTAAGCATTAAGTTTGCAACTGCTTCCAACACGTTTAACTAACTTTTCCTCTTTCTTTAGGCAATTGCGTTGCCAGAAGTTTGGCTGTAAGTACTTGCAGTGAATCTGAATTAAAATATACTAATTTTTATACATTTAATTTTAGCTAATGGAAGCAAAACTTGCATTGCTTCACGTAGTCTACCGGTACAAGCTCAAAAAGTGCTCAAAAACAAAGGTAACGCATATTTTCGTTTAATTACGATATTGTAATTAACCTTCTGTCGTTTCTTTTATTAGGTGCCAGTCGAGTTTTACAACAATGGCCAGATTCTAACACCCAAAGATGTGTTTTTGGAGTTTGAAAAGCGATAAACATTGAAGCACACATGATGTTGAATTTGAACATTTTAAATAAATTAAAATTACTGAAAATAAGTGCCCAATCTTTGCGATAGACGGCGGCTCTGTTGTTATTTACGTTTTTGAAAAAAATGCTTTCAAAGTTTGCTGATTCAGCGGTGCTAAACGGCGTTTGCTTTCTATCACTAGCGTTTCCGCAACAACAAGAATCAGCCATGCCGTTCCGACTTTTTACAAATACCTACTTGAAGAAAGCCAATGCCAAACATAATGGATGGTGCTTTAAATGCCATGAAGAAGTGTCGTTTCCTGAAATAGTTATTGTTTGTCAATACAAAAATTGCCCCAACACGTTCCACTTGGGGTGTATGCAGATAACCACATTTCCTTCGGATAAATGGATTTGTCCCTGGCATAAGTGTGCTGAAGAGGACTGCAATGAACCTCCTCTATCATTTTGCGAACGCTGTCCCAAAGCCATCTGCCAAATGCACTCAACTGATCCAGTTAAGCACGAGTGCAACTGGTATGCTTTTTGTGTTTCGAAATTATTTCCCATCTTAACTAAAACTTGTTCTTTAGAGTACCAGCCGTTGGAAATGAAGGCTTTTTAATCGATCAAGATTACCATGGAAGAGTCATTTGAAAACAACTGTATATTTTAATTCATTTAAATTTTGTAACAATAAAAATTGGTTTGCCTTATTGTCACCAAATAGAACCCACCTTCTCCTTTTTGCCTAAGTTCGTTTAAATCTAAGTAAAAAGGTTCTTTGATGACTCTAAATATTTGTTTGAAGAATTTGTTGGGTTTTGTGAAACTAGTGATCATTTTGCAATCAATACAAGTTGTATTGATGGGGAAACTGTGCGCGGCTGAAAAGATTTCCCGCACATTTTTTTGCACTTAAAGTGCATTTTTCGTCTATTGCCCGCCTACTTTTGAAGCCTTCACAACGCTTCCCAAACGTTACCCCAACTGCTTCTCCAATCTAATCATAAACCATTAAGTTGGCACACAATCTCCAACGTTTTAATTTTGTTCAGCTCATTTGTCATTTGGAGAAGGTCGATATTGTTACTCTGTAAGAAGATGAGTTTTTCCAACATTGTCGTCACCGGTGCGAATCGAGGAATCGGCTACCAGTATGTGACTTATTTGCTAGCTCAATCTCCTGCTCCAAAGAATGTCATCGCCACTACTCGTAAGCCTAGTGAAGAGCTAAACAAGCTAAAGTCAGCCAACTCGAATCTGCACATTGTCACCTACGATGCGACCAACTACAAGAGCTACCCGGATTTTGTTGAGCAAGTTTCCAAAATTGTCGGCCCCGATGGCATCGATTTGCTAATCAACAATGCGGGCATCTACGTGAGCGGCAACTTGGAGACAGTCAAAGCGGAAGACGTGCTGCGAAACATCGAGGTGAATGCTGTTGCTCCGCTGGAGCTGACTCGAGCCCTGCTTCCACTGCTGAAGGCGTCGTCCACTGCCAACAAGCGAAAGACCGTCATTGCGAACATTAGCTCTATGGCGGGCAGTATTGGCGACAACACCTCAGGTTCGGCAGTGATCAGCATTCCGTACCGGTCGAGTAAAGCCGCACTGAACATGATCACTCGCTCCTTGGCGGTCGACCTGAAGGAGACTGGAATCATTGTGTTGGCAATCCATCCTGGCTGGGTGAAAACCGATATGGGCGGCGAAAGAGCTCCGTTGACCCCACTAGCAAGTGTGAGCGGCATTTCAGAGTTTCTGGCTAAGGTCAGTTCAGAGCAGTCAGGCACCTTTGTCAACCACCAAGGAAAAGAACTGCCCTGGTAGTGCCCTTTTTTGCTAACATGTGTCATTTGAAAACAAAGTAATAAAGTTTATTTGAAATGTTCACTTTTTATTAACAAAACGTAAGTTATTCTTTCTTCTTATTGCCAAACTTGGCAAACGGTCCAAAGATGGCATTTTTTCGGTACTCATCTGAAGCCAAGAAGTCCTTCAAGTTTTCCAGCTCTTCAAAACGTTTCATGTACGCACTCAACTTCTCATGTTTTTTCAAGCTGTCATTCGGCACCAGCTCTCGATACCAGTCAAAAATTTCGTATGCCAGAAAGTCAACGTAGCTGAGTTTATCTCCAGTAAGCCACTTCCCAGGAACTAGAAACTTCTCAAACAACTCTAGTGTGCTGTCGTGTTCCTTTCGAAGTTGCTCCATTTCTTTTTCGAAATCGGCTTCAGTGGCGTACGGCTGTTTGTGGTAGTTAGCGATGACCATTCTTTCCACGCAGTCATTTAATTTCATCATCAGCATGTCTTCTGTAGCAAGCTCTGGGTCAGAGGTAGCACAGAGACCGAACTTTCTTCCTAAATATCTCAGAATGGCCATTGATTCGGTAATTTTTACCCCATTTTCATCGTCTTTCAAGTACGGAAGATTCGCAAAGTCCAAACCGAGAGATTCCTTTTCTCCAAAGTACTTGTCAAAGTTGTACGGTGGTCCATCCAGAGAGTAGACAACATCATTGTAGTCCGCTTTAGCATACCGTAACATCAGGCGTGGAGCCGAGCCGCGTCTGCAACAGAAAAAAATAAGTTGAAAAAGTTATCACCTTTTTTGCAAAAATACCCTCTGCAATTCCAGTATGCAAAAGTCAGTGTCATCTCAGCAGCTCAGTTTTCTGGCAGTTTGATGGTAGAGAAAGCTCACTGTAGGTTTCCAATCTGTTGCGTGAGCTTATATAACATTATGTTGCAACTGACAACACTAGTATCTGCATCAACTGTTAGCATTTCGGACTCTCCCCTTTTTACCAGACAGTTTAGGCGCCTGTTGCGAAATGAGACTTTTATAACCTCAAGGACATCATTCAATTGTTGCCATGCAGCCATCAAACTGTGTGCATTAGTGCCCACTTGAGGAGGTTGCCTCACCGTATCTAAACATTTTAAACTGCCTAAGCTTGAACATAAGTAACTGCACTTAGACATTTGCAAGTTTTAAACATTCGCAATGACATTTTTATCACTGAAACATTGAACAAATTTTTAAAAAATAGTTCAGTTTTATAATACAAAAAGTTCTCTTTAGAAAAAGATTTGTTATAAAAATGCCAGCTTTAGTTGTCATTTTTTAAAAGTCGATTTTAAATTATTTTGTATTTTGCTCTAATGACCATTTTATTTTCAGGTGTTGTTTCTGAGTCAAGTTTAAGCAAATCTTTAAAAGAAAACCCATCTGAAGAAGAATTATCATTTGTCCTGATTTTGTTGTTTGCTCAAATATTTCTTATAATTTTCATTGGTTTTGCTTGGGCTCTAGAAGTTTTGCGCTACTCTGGCGATGTGGTTCCAGCAGAAAAACTGGAAAATATGAAGCATATGACAAGCAAAACCAATGCTGGCTCATTTTCTCCGACGTTTAAAAGTAATCCAAAACCAAAACAAAATGAATTTACTATTTGAAATGTTTTTATTTAATAATAATTAAAATCTACAGAGTATTTTTAATTGCTTTTGCTTTGGGTGACGTTCACTTAGGGACTCGTTCAGTTATGCTGATCATCAAATTCTTGGGACTCAGAAGAATAGACCCACGAAAGTACTCCAGTTTTAAATTTTTCTCGGCCATACATTTGTAGTTTAGCACAAAATTAGCAATTCCAATGCGCAGTTCATTCTGTGGAACAAACATTGATAAAACAGAGCATTTGCATGCGTAACGACGGAGGACTTACTTGAGCGAATCGCATACCCACACAGAGTCGATTTCCTACTCCAAATGGCATAAAGGCAATATTAGATTCGTGTTGCCTTTCCGGGTTAAACACAGCCGGCTCATCAAAGTATTCAGGATCAAAGTGAATTGCTTGCGGCCGAATGGCAATCGATGTTCCTTTTGGTATTTTAATACCAGTGTCCAGAAGAGTACAATCTTCTTTTGCAACGCGGTGAAACTCAAGAAGGGGAGGACATAGTCTGAGTGTTTCATTGATTATGCCATTTAAAATGGGCATTTTTTTCAAGTTGTCGTAATCAAGATTGTCCTTCATTTTGTAAACTTCTTGGTACAACTTTTCCTGCCATTCTGGGTGCTGAGTCAAAAAGTAGATTACGTGCAGAAGAGTGGCACTTGTAGTGTCATAACCTAATAACATCGTTAGTATAATTTGAAAATACTAAATTAAGAAAGTTTTACCTGCAATCTGAAAAATACTAAATTAGATTTAAAATCACCAGAATAAAAGGCTTACACTTACAAAGAACAAGATGCCCTGACCAGACAGTTCTGAGGGAGATAGACCTTTAAACTTGGATGGAGTATTGTTTTGATTGACATCTTTATCTGAATAATTTTGACTCTCTTCAATCATTAGGCCAAGTAAATCTGAGTTTTCTGTTAAAATTTAAAAAACATTTTTAACATGACACGCTGTTAGTTTTGTTCAGCTGACTTACGCTTAGCTGAGTCACTCGCAAGCCGTTGTTCAATTATTTTTGACGTCAAATCATCAAAAAACTGAACTGCTTTCTTGTCAAACGGTTCCAGTTTAAGTAATTTAGCTAACCATGGAAACAGAGTAGAAACAACCATACTGAAAGAGGCGTCGACATTGAGAACCTTCTTGGCGTTGACTACTACCGGATGGTTTGGGTCGCTTAGTGAATCAAGATGAATTCCATAGCCTGCTGTGGCAATAGTATCCATCGCAAAGCTTCCAATGAATTTCTTCATATCAAAACGTTCACCCGATTCAGCCATCGGTTTCAAATGATCAATGAAGTTACTTGTTATTCTTTCTATTGGAGTCAGCATTTGTTTCAGTTTTCCTGTGGTGAATGCCGGAGTAACTACCGATCTAAACAAAAAAAAGTAAATCAAAAAAGTTTAAACTTTTTAAGTTAATAATAATACCTGATTCGTCGCCAATTTTCGTCTGCTTCAAGAAAGAAAAGTGATTTTCCAATGTTGGTTGTGCCAGTGTAGAAATTGAATCGTATTGGAAACTGGTGAAAACTTTTAATTGAAAGTTCTCGAGCCAGTTTGGCATCATTTAGAAAGAGTACTTGAGATGCAGGCTCATAAATGCCAAATATTCTGCCATATTGCTTTGCTTCATCGAACACTAGTTGACGATACTCTTTAAACGCCCATTCAATGTTTATGAAAGGGTAAGCCGGTACTCCTTGTCTTTGCCAGAATGTAAAATGTAGATAAATTCGCCTGATTTTAAACAAAATTGTTAATAAACTTGTTTTGTACATTTTATCGACATACCTTATATAATAAAAAATCAAAACACCTAAAATTGTAAGCAAAAAAATTGAAAACATTTTTCTATAACTTAAACTTTTTGATTTTGCAACAAAATTGACTTTTGTTAGCGTACTAATAAACATATCCTTTTATATGCAAGTCAAACATAAATTCAAACAACAAAATTGGTTATGCATTACCTTATCACTGCTTGATTAGAGGAATAGTGCAAGAGAAGCTTTATGGTTTTAATGATAATCATTGCTTGAGTTTGGTGTTGTTACTTTGTTTGCTAAAAATATCTTAAAACTGTGGTTATGCTACTAGCCCCCAAACCTTACTTGTTTGAAAATATTTAAAATAACCAGTTACACTTTAAAAAGTATTTTTGACAGATTTATAAAGTTGCTTTTTATTTTGTGTTTAAAAAAATAATGCAATTTTCTGATGTTTCTCTACAATTACTACAGCAATGTTAAAAGTTTTTAGCATAAAGTCAATCAGCAAAACAATGTTGCAATTTTTAAATTGTTTTATACTCAAAACACATGTTGTATCAAAACATTTATGGAAACTTGTGTGTTTGCTCTAGTTGGTCATTATCAACAAGGTCAAGCTTATCTTCTTTCTTTGATCGTGAAAGCTTGCCAAACGTTTTTTCCGTTGGAGTCGAAGGTGGAGAAATGTCAAATCCAAAAGAAACCGATTTAGTCTTTTCTGATGGAGTTGTGGGAATAGCATCAGAGTAGACTGAGTCACTAAACGAAGTTCGCCTTGGCTGGTACTGCCTTGATTGGGTCAACTTTCGCTGACAATAGAACAGCAAAGTTAAAGTTATCAGAATTGCCGGCAATATAATAGCAAAAGCTGCTAAAACATAAGCAAAGTTTGTCAGAGTGAAGTATCGCGAGCTGTAGTAATAAAGTCCGTGTCTGGATGATTCTTGTTGGGAATCTATGAAAAAAAAGATTTTTGATAAACCGTAGTTTGATACACAATTGAAAATTACCGGTTGATCCAGTTGGGCGGAAAATCCACCAAATGACCAAGTCTCTTTCACCGGAGCTTGTCTCTTGATCAAAAGTGCCTTCAACAGTAGTGCCGTTTTCTGCAGAAACTTTACTACCATTTAAAGCTTCATCAGGAACTGCTAGACATTTCTTAATAAGCATGTTATCGGTTGCCCATTCATATCCATTCATGCAGTCGCACATCATGTCTGAGGTGGCCAGACCATCTTCTCGAACGATTTGTTTGCAGAATAAACTCCAATCAGTGGCTTTGCACTGTGAGTCGTAGAGGCAGCTCTCATTGTAGGTGACTACAGGGACGCACATCTGCTCCATGTAATGGGGATCTTCTACTAAAATAAAGGGTCTAATTTCTGTGGTGCTCACCCCACTACCGCTTGAAATGGCGACCATCTGTTGAGTGGGGCATTCGCAAAAACCATTTGAACTGTTGTCATCTGTCAGAATGGAGTTATCATTTTGCATGCACATAAACCCGTCACTACAGTCTTGTGTGACATTGCACGATTCATGAGCTCGGTTGCCTGTTGATCGGATAAGGGAACAGTATCTGTTTCAGTATGTAATTATATTTTAACACAATCTTTTGTTTTACCTTTGAAATGTCGCAAAACACTCGTTGCTTCTCCTGTGACGTAGTTGAATAAGTCGTACGAGTTGACATAATCTGCTACAGTACATTTGATCTCAATCTGCTCAATTCCATCACTTTCCATGACATCAATTAGTGAGTTGACATTTATGTCGATTTTGTGCCAGCAGTTAAGCGAACTTGAGTCGCAAGTTCCGTTTGATAAAATCAGGTGGCTAAACTGCGAGTTCCAGTCAAAAATTGGACGACGCATTTTATAAGATTCCTCGTCAATGGAGCCATTTTCATCATCTGAACATACTCGCGAAGAGCACTCGTAGGTAACAAAAGGTCCATTACGCGTTGACGCATGTGCTGGATTGAGATAGACGCACATCTTTAGCTGTTTCGGTTTATCAGTTGAAACCACAAGTTTGCTATTTTGAGAATTATCTGAATAGTCGTAATCCTCATCACCATCATTGTCGTTGTCGTCGTCATCGTTGTCATAATCAATATTAGATTTGGAAGTACTACTTGCCAGATTTTGCAGTTTGCCAGAATTGGCTTGAATCGGTTTTTCTATTTTTAAATTTTGTGACTGTGGAACAACAAGTGCGTCGGAAAAAATGCTTGCAAGAACAACAATTCCGAGCAGAACAGTAAAGACACTAAAAGAACATGTCGAAAGAATTGAATTCATTTTTAGAGCTAGTAAATAGGTCGGCTAGATTTACATGGAGGCTGAAATGAAGTGCTCAGGTAATCGATTGCTTGTGTGTTCTCGTCGAATCAACAGCTCTAACTACGCCACAATTTGCCTAGTAGACATTTTGCATACACGCACAAGCTGCCTGGTTTAGGCTGGTCGCGCTCATTTTTGGCCAAATCATTCAGTCATGGACTAAAACAGCTGAAAGGGAAAGAGGGGACGAGAGAGAGAGAGTAGCTGAAAGTGGTAAAGCAAAGAATACAAAAAGCACTAATAGCGCCAGATGAAACTACACTTTGGCTGACAACAGCAATGATGTGGAAAGGATACAGTGGACAACAAGTGGCCACATCACCGGCCACATTCACTTGCACTTGTCGGAATAAGCTCGTCATTGTCTTGGCAACTAGTCATCGCCTAAAACTGCTCACTCACAGCTGTTTCTCGGTTGTACTACAAAACAAGGCACTTTGCTTTGTAAATTAATGAATAATTTTTGTACTCATTTGTACCCATCTGCTGGAAATCACAAATTTCTTGTCAGTAGAAATCAAAATCTATAACTACCTTACCTATCATATTGAAAAAAATTATTCAACTGCTAAGGGGTGCTAAAGACTGGTAAACATTTGGAAACAGTTGTACAAGTCACCCAGTCAATGGAAAGCTGCAACTGACGTCGGTGACAGTTCAGTGACGGGGCAACATGAAGCATTTTATCTAGCGGAAATGTGTGCATGTGATGGGCAAGCAAATTGGCAATGAAACTGACATTTAAACATGACCATCAATGACAAAAGACACAATTACTTTTTGTCTCACAAAAAAACTTTAATTGCTATTTTGGCTATAACTTACAATAAAGTTCGAGTTTTAATGTTAAATAAATAGAACATAGATTTTTACCAATATTTAAAAGAAAACATAAGATTACTTTAAAATAGTTATTTTGCAGTGTGAAGAGTTTGAATAAGTTTATTAACAGTGAAGCCGCAAACTGCAAGCAAGAAACCCTGACAAAGAGTGAGCCATGAAAGCTCTCTGTTCAATCTATGTTCCGGCCACCAAGCACGTAATGTCAAGTGTTGGCATCACAGTGAACGCTGGTGAGCGCAGCATTGTCCTTGACTTTCTCAAAAGAGAGCTCTCTGTTGTGATGTTTCACCAGTACACCAAAATGTTTGGTCTTGGTGATAGTCCTGACATTGGCAGATGGAAAATACTGCCCAAAAACATTCTCAGCTTTCACTCGGACAACAACGAGGTGACGCTGCGCATGCGATATGGCAAGCTGGTCATCTTCAACATTAGTCCGGCACTGGCGAAAACGATTCGTCGAACTGTCCTCCGATCGGCCACCATGCTAAGCCAGTGGGCAGTTTGGAAGAGAAGCGTCGCATACAACCCATTGTGGCAGCAGAAGTACTACACTCGACAAAGACTGACTGGTGGTCAGGCCGGTGCCCAATCCACTCAACAGCAACAGCCACAGCAGTCAATAGTCAGTGTGGCCAGAGCAAGCCGCATCAAGTCGCTGATGCTGTACGATCAAATGTGCGACCAGAAGGCCTCACTGGGCTTTACCGCTCATGAGATCATCAGGCACAAGCTGGCACAGCGACAGCCTCGAATCAACAATCAGCTGGTGAAAAAGTTGAGCACCTACAAAGGCCTGCTGGAGGAGTATTCTCGGTTAAGAAGCGACCTTGCTGCGACTCATCGAAACTGGGATGATCCACTTTTGCGGCAATTTGATGTGTTTAATCTTCCCAATGAGCAATCCTCTTTGCAGTTCACCACAATGAAAGCAAATGTGCAATTTCCACATGACTGCAAGTTTTACGACTCATTTCAGGACAAATGGTTCAACGTTTCTAGCAACAAGATCACCTTTAAGCCATTTGTGGAACCAAAGACCGATCAAGCTGCTTCTATGACTAATCAGTGGATCATTGAAGTGAGTTGGGACACTCAGAGTGTTCAACCTTGCACAATTTCGCCTAAAAATGTTCTCTTCTATCGCGCAAGTTTTATTGCAAACTCGGCATCTTTTACCGTTTTCATGGCACGTAAACGAAAGTACTACGTGTTTAATTTTGAAAACCAAGCAAATGTTTTGTTGAAGTTTATGAAAACATTTTTTGATTGGCTCAACGGAGAAAATCGCTCAATTTTTCCGCATCAAAGTTGCATTCAAGACTACCTGACTGAGCCTAAATGGCGTGCTGGAAAACTGAAGACATGTCCAGCACAACAAGTCACTTCCCAGCTTCTGAACAACCTTTTCAGAAGCATCACTTCTAAAGAAGATGAAAATGCAATCTTTTTGAAAACTTTCATCTATGGAGCAGTGTCTTTGAACTTTTCCCGCCTGAGCGAGATGAATTTGCTTGCAGAAAAGTACAAAATTCCGGAGAAAAACCGCAGGAACCACTCTCTCTTCCGGGAAATCAGTCGACGAGTGGCTTTGGACTGCTTGCAGCTAGTCTGGCAAATGTCCACTCTGCTGGCCAACAAGTACGCGACCACTCTCGAAGAGTTGTGCCGTGAAAAGGTGCCACAAGTAGGAGCTTTACACTACTTTGGCAAAGAACTAACTGATGAAAGCGCACTGAAATTGAAGCAGATGCGCCAAACGTACTCTGAAGTGCAAGCCCTAATGAAGGCCTTTTACGGCTCAAACTGGCCGATCAACTGCCGCGACGGCCACAATGCTACGCTCCAGAGCAGATTCTCCCTCTTCAATGCACCTCACTGATGTATTTGCGAATAAAGGTTTTCAGTGATCGAAATCGGATTTATTTCTAACTGATTTGCAGGGCATCAGATGGCGGCTGCTCTTGCGTAATAGTTTGTTAAACTGCAACAATTGTCAAAACCGGCTATCTGCTGATGATGACATCGTTTATTTACCTTTTCACTGCGAATCTGTTTATGTACATCAGTACTCAAGTGCAGCGAACAAAATAAAACAATAAAATAAAAGCAGTTTTTGCGTGTTTAGTCAAATTGAACAATAATAAATTTTAAGCTGAAAAAAATGCTTTCATCTCGAATTATCCAGAGAGTCCTCTCAGTTCGATGTTCTTCTTCGACAGCTACTGCACCGTTGGCATCTACTCCGCACATTTTAAATGGATCATCTGGCTACAAGTTTGACAATGAACGCTATGGAAAAAACATTGTTCTCGTGGAAGGAGTTCGCACTCCATTTGCTCAATCAATGACTGATTATGAGCATTTGATGTCCTACGAGTTGATGTCGCACGCTTTGAAATCACTCCTGAAACGCATTCCAATTTCTCCAAGTGATGTTGATTACGTAGTTTGTGGAACAAACTTGCATGAACCAAAGACGCCTAATGTGGCTAGAGAGGCTGTCCTCGGTAAGGAAAGATGTCAGTAAATCGGTTCGAATACTTATTGTTGTTATAATTTAGCGGCTGGTCTGCCAATGAGCGTTCCTGCAAACACAGTGACTATGGCTTGTGTATCGGCTAACCAAGCTATTACAAGTGGCATAGGATACATCAACTCGGGAACTTACGAAGTGGTCATTGCTGGAGGAGTTGAGGTAATGAGATTGGTCATAGTTTTTACTTGTCAATTCTCGCTGACTTTTTTTGTTTACTAGACCGCTTCTGACGTACCTATTCGCCACTCAAAAAAGATGCGCCAAATGTTGCTCAAGTTAAACAAGGCAAAAAGTAACAAAGACCGATTGAACATACTCAAAAAACTTCGCCCAGATTATTTTGCCCCCGAGGTTTGTTTTATTAGAAAACTTGCAACCAAGTAACGTGAGTTCTTTTTAAACTTAGCTTCCTCAACTTTCTGAGTTTTTTACCGGTCAAATCATGGGAGAGGTGATCAAAACCACTGCAAAAACTTAAGACCATTTACTAAAAACTTAATTACATTTTTGTCTACAGGCAAGTGATCAGATGTCAGCTTCTTTTAAAGTGTCCCGACGAGAACAAGATGAGTTTGGTCTCCGTTCGCACACGCTAGCTGATAAGGCGTTTAAAGAAGGGAATTTAAGTGATATTGAGCCAATTTTTGTGCCTGGCAAAGGCTTGATATCAAAAGACAATGGTATTCGTGTGTCTACATACGAAAAGGTTTCAAAGTTAAAACCATCCTTCACCAAAGAGTACGGTACCGCTACGCCAGCAAATTCTAGTTACTTTACAGACGGTGCCACAGCTATGCTCATCATGACTGAAGAGAAAGCCAAAGAACTTTGTCTCAAACCAAAAGCTTATCTTCGAGAGCACATTTACGTGTCACTTGATCTGAGAGATCAGCTTCTACTAGGTCAGGCCGTACATTATCACTAAAATTAGTGTTATTAAAAATTTTGCAAATTCTGCTCTCTAGGTCCTGCATATGCAGTTTCCAAGCTACTGAAGAGAGCTAACCTAAAAGTTTCTGATATTGATGTTTGGGAGTTTCATGAAGCCTTTGCGGGCCAAGTCCTTGCGAATCTCAAAGGCCTTGATTCATCTTATTTTTGCACCAACTATCTCGGACAAACTTCTAGAGTGGGAATGCCAGACATGAACCGTCTAAACACATGGGGAGGTAAAAGTTCAACTATTTGTGTTTTAAAATAATTTTTTTTTATTTTAACGTATATTCTACTCACTTGCTAAAGGCTCCCTTTCAATTGGTCACCCCTTTGGCGCTACTGGAGTTAGATTGGTTACAACTGCAGCTAACCGGTTGGCCAAAGAAAATGGACGACTAGCAATGGTCTCCGCATGTGCAGGCGGTGGAATTGTAAGTGTTCTTATTTTAAATCAATTTTACAGTTTATTTTTTCCGTTTTAGGGTGTGGGAATGATTGTTGAGAGTTATCCGTAAATGGACTTTATAATAACACATGGACACTGCAGATACTGTCCTAATGTAATTAACTTTGAATGTTTGATGATCGATAAACATTGTTATGTTTTTGAGTTATCAAATAATAACAATAAAAAAGCGACACATATCCGGTGTTGTGATTTTGTTTAACAAAACACAGTGTATGTCTTATCACATTGAATCAGTTTCTCCCCTGAGTCTCAGCTGCAGGGTAAGCTGATAAACTATGAGTAATACACTTAGTTGGCCTTAAGTGACTAAATTCGTTAGTCAGTCAACCTGTGTTTACCTCACTGTTTCATTGTTGTGTTGTTCTTGCACTCGCCGCCATGGCCAAACATTTGAAGTTATTTTTTAAACGCAAATCGCACAACTTTGAGCCAAAAGTTCTTCTCAATTCTAACAGCACGTTAATCACACTTTACGATGACGAAGAGTTGTACATGAAGCGAACAAGTAGTGCAGAGGATTTCAGTTCTTTGCCTACGCATTTAATTGACTTTTCTATTCTGAAGAGTCACTCTTCTTCAAGTCTTGTTGATGTCTTCCATGGTACTTGTAATGATCAAGGTAAATAATATCAATTTTTGTACGCCTTGTTATATCATGTAAACAATAATTTGTCTGCATCATGTAGAAGATGAAATGAGCAAGCCAACCAAAGTACCACTCTTAAATTGTGACAACTGGCTCTGGATGGAAATGAAGAATGGTCAAACGCAAGTGAATGAAACTTGAACGCATTTATTATACTTTATTATAGTTTTTCTTGTAAACTGTTTGTTTATAAAATGCAAATGTATTTATTGTGAAGATATCTAAAATATTTTTTTAATAAAGTAGTTTTTTAAAAACTAATCTGAAAGTCAGGTCATTCACTGATTCACAATTTAAACAAATAAATAAATTTATTTAAAGTTAAGAGCAGAATATAATTGTACAAAATGTCACTCATTTTACTAATGACATAAATAATGCAAATACAAATATTTTAAAATCAATAAAATGTGTAATAAATTACCATTCAGAAGTGCAATAACTCAAAAGCAGTCAACTTTCATCTTTGAATTTTAAATTTATACATTTGCAGCTACCACTCGTTACATAAATCGTTATAAAACCGGAAACTACATGATTAATTGATGTAAAGAATTTGAACATTTAAATTCAATATTCAAAAAACACACAAAAATAATTTGTAGCAATTTTTACAAAATCAACATTTAAATCCTTAAATGTGCTAAGTAATAGTAAATCAATTGTAATGTTTTTATTGTAAATTGATTTAAATTATAATTAAATTTGTCTACATCTTTAGAGTAAATGTCTCATTTTCAATTATGCGCACCAGAAACTAGTAGTAGTTCATTCAGCTCGACCGTTTCTGGTCTTGTCAGGCCTAAAGTGGAAACCTTGTCTGAAGAGCCATCTCTTTGCAACCATTGCCAGCAATTTGTCTGTCCTTGTCATCGTGTCAAATCAAATTTAAATATATTGACTGCACCGCAGTCCTGCCTACTTTACTTCCTATGCTTTCCTTCACCGTAGTTAAACATGCTTTATTTTTTGTATGCGTTAAACATCAAGCTTGCTTTTTAAATATCAATTCATCATAATTTCTACTCGTAGCGCTTAAATAACAAAATTATCAACAGTGTTGCAAAAACAAAAAAATTGTCATATGTTCAAAATTTAAAATGTAATTAGTTAGAAAATTAACACGTAAATTGTAAAACATTTAAAATGTTGTAAAACTTTAAACATTTTTTGTTACATTACTAGACGGCAATGTTAACAGTAAATGTACTGCCAACATTATTTTTTTGCAGTTAATAATTTGCCAAGTAAAACTTAAAAAATTATTTTGTTTTGTTGTTTAAATAAATAACGGCAAATTAATTTTTTAATATGAAAAAGAAAAGTTTGTGTTTCAAAACGAGCCTCTACTTATCAAACTGAATGACATTTTGTTGTTAATTTTGAAATAGTTGAAGCAGAAGGAATGTTCTAAATCTTTTTCCCTTGCTGGTTTTGTACGCGGCAGTGCACAGTGTGCAGTATTGATAATTCTCCTAATTCATTGCACAGTGGCCATGTGCAGTGCTCGATCTGCTGCCTAATGCGCTGTAGCAATTTGTAATCGACCAACGTTATTAATATTAATGACACTGTTTCTTTTTGTTTTGCTGTGTGAACAATCTTTAACTGAGCATTGTTTTTTTTCGTTTTAGAATATTAAGAATTTTTTAATATTTCAACGGGCAAAGAGTTAAAAGCATTTTCTAATGTATTTTGTTTTAGCGAGACTTTTTTTCATAAATACTTTTTCTCTGTTTTGTTAAAATAAAACTGAATTTTTAAAGAATATTAAAAATTTACTAGAATTTTTCAATTAAAAATGCATTAATCCAGCAGTAAATACAATTTGTACACTGTACATTTTTGACTGTATAAAAAATTAATTAACTTGAGCTCATGAGCCAACGGAAAACATTTTAATGTCAATTTGAAGCATAACAGTGTTTATCACCGCGTAAGACGTAGTCGCAGAATTACTTCCGAGAGAAGAAATTGACAATGTAAACATATCGGCAAATGGTGTCTCCATCTAGTACATGTGCACAATGAGAGATGCGCAATGACGACCGGCATCGATTTGTATTAATTAAAAGAGAAATCTAATTGCATGCGATTCTAAGTTTAGCCGCATTAGACTGGATGTGCAGTCTGTCAGCACTGGTCATCTTCTGTCGACACATTGTTACACGTTCTATGCCCTCCCCTTTGTCTCTCTTTACCCTCCTCTGACTGCCATCAATTGCCCAGTTGTTTCTGATTGATGTCTCGCCAATAATCACGGCAAATGTGAAGACGTATTAATATTAATTAGTGCCTCTTCCAAACGACATCATCGCCTCTTGGCGAGTGTTAATTGAATCAGGCAGAATTTTGCCATCTAACAACCGGTGTTTTGTATGAGTGTGTGTGTAAAAAAGAGAGAAAATGTTTGTTGTTTTTTTGTACCCAACGCTAACTGAGAAAACTGTAAGGACTCTTCTAAGTGTAATTTTCATCGCTTCATTTACACCGCTAAATTTATTATTATCACCAACTTGCCGTATTACTCAACATTTGTAGAAGATAACTAAATAATGGGTAAAATGTGCAATGTATAATTTGTTTATTACTTAAACTGTTTCATTTTTCTCTACGATATTTGTCAATGATGATAAGAATTGACAAATTATACTTTACAAAAGCTCATTGAAAAGTTCATTTATTTTGCAGTCTAGTAAACGACTGTTCATATTTATGTTGCTTGACACTGTTATTTTATCAACTAACTCAGTTAAAATAGTTGTTTTTTGAAAAAATTACACTTTTAGTGTTTCAATTATAATCTGCTCATCACCAGTGATTTCTGTTTTTTTGTAGACTAGGGGACAAATGGATTCATTGCCTCGGCGCGTACTGCATTCTTATCAATTATTTACAGCTCATTTCGTTATTTAATTTAATTTAACTTTACACAAGACAACCCAATTGGCTTTTTATTTTTTTGCTTCAATGGAATAGTTTTTGATTACTATACTTCATTTTGCATTGGCCTAGCACAAATACTGATTGCTATTTTTTATTTTCAACTTGCGTTTATGATATGTTTTATTTTGCATCTAAACTAAGTTTTTTAAATCGTTATTTTTGCATGTAAATAACTAAAAACAGTATTTTTTGTTTTTTAAAGTGATTTATTCAGATTAATTCTTGATTAATTTGATGTCAATTGTGATTTCCTTAAAAATACAGCAAACGGCACACACAGAACAATGTTTTATTTTTTTATTTTAAAATAAATTTTTCATTTTTGTTTTTAATTTTAATTTTTAAATATATAACTTTTACAAACTCGCAAGCTCGTTGTGCCCCAAACCGTCGGTGCCGATCAACCAAATGNTAAATATATAACTTTTACAAACTCGCAAGCTCGTTGTGCCACAAACCGTCGGTGCGGATCAACCAAATGACACCAGTCAATGCTTAACAACCTAATAAACAAAAT